ATCGGGATGAAGGTGCTCTTGTCGTTCTAGCAAGAGGCAAGACTGTTCTTTACATGTAGCAATTTAGACTCTTCGGTTCGAAAATAAAGCTAAACAGCATTTTAGGTAAATCAAAACTGTCTCAAATCATTACTCATAAGCGTCTTAACCGCGAACAAACGCTGAACATCGCACACATTTACTGTCATTTCAGATCACCTGGCTGCGCCGGCGCGACTGGCACATTTTGTCGTCCAACCTGCAGCTCTACATCCAGGACGAGAGGTTCCAGGTAACCCACCCAGGCGGCTCGGACGAGTGGAACATGCACATCAAACCGGTTCAGTACTCGGACGCCGGCAGCTACGAGTGTCAGGTCAGTGTTCAGGGCGTCCCTCAGAGTCCGAATGGTCAAAGTTTGGAAGATCTGTGTGGGGTTAAACGATAGGCTACACCTAAAACATGGGAACATTCAGGTATGGAAGAAAAGAGCGCAGGGAGGGAGAGCCGCCACGGGCTCCGACCGACAGCAGGGTCCCGGAGCGGCCCTAAAGCCGGCCGCTCGAGGTCAGGTCGGGTCGTTGCCAGTGGGAATGGCTGGCCGCGGGTCGCTGACTCGGTGACAATGCCAGCACCGGAGCGGCTTATTCAGTCTCCGTCACAGAACACCTGGATTACGGGAATGGGCATTAGCCGGCGGCTTCGGCCCGCGGCGCATAATCTGTCCGGCCATATACCGGCTCGCCAGCTCCAATGAGAGCCACCACCCGTACAAAACGGAACGTTACATTAGCAGCGGTCTGAACAGGCCGTCCGCGCAAGGCGTGCCCTATCGAACAGGCCCCGGCGGTGCTCCCGAGGCCGATTTATGAAGTTATCGAGCAGGCAATGACCTGCAAAATGGCGGCACATGCCGCGAGACGCTTTATCAGGCGTCTCGGTCGCGGCTGGCTGCCAGCATACCTGCAGCGCTCTCACTGGCGCTTTGTCAGCGGGTGAATGGCGGGTCGGACCGAAATCTGTCCACGGTGCCGCGCTGCCGCCGCGCGCCGTCCGCCGTTCTGACGTCCACGGGCCAGAGGTAACGCGGCCTGAAGGGAACTTCATAGCGTGGAAGGCAATCGCTGTCAGCTTTATGAGCCCGTGACGTGATAAGGACGGCCTGTGAGACGCTCGCCGTGAAATTTTTACCCTGCGCAAAGTTTCAGCGACGTGCGACGCTGTCGTCAGATTTTCAGGAATGCCGAGACACGAAATTGTCCCGTCACGCGATAAACTAGCGGGGCGAGGAAAGCGATACGCACCCCGGGCGAGGCTGACGCTTCGCTGCCTTAAAACAGATCAAAAATGTTGGAGCAAACATCATGGTTAATATGAGAATATAAACAACATTCTTGTCACATATCGTACAAAAGTGTGATATGGAAACATGGAATTAAAACTGTTCAATGACAAAGTGCTCTAGCAGTCCTTAAGCGAGAATGTAGCCTTGCACCCTATTTCTTCCGTCGTAAGGCTGTGCTCAGCCCTCAGTGTTGCCATTTTCAGGGATCGTGTTTTTCATTTCAAAGTTAAGCTTGCAAATTTCATTAATTTAGGCTAAGCTAATTCTTCTAATTTGATTGGAGATGAAACAGAGGAATTCATTCTTGAAAGCACTATTAAAATAAAGGAAATGCTCGTCTTTTACTCAAACGAAGCGCGCAAGCAATAGAAGAAATGAAATCCTTAGATGTCCTAGAGCCAATCTGAAGTCATTGTCGCACAAAGGAATGTCTGAACGCATCTTGGATACTTGAAAAGCTGTCAGCCATTGCAACAGAAAAGAGGTAATGCTTGAAATATTAGGTTAAAGTAATTTCAATTCAACTTATACACACACACACACACACACACAAAACGTTTATTAAGGAACAAAAGATACACGAGAAATAAAGCATGATCAATGAAACATATGGCACAATGTAGCAACATAAAAGTGATAGCAGAGTGGTGCAAAAGCGCAATCGCTTAACTCGAGGCACCACTCTGGAACAAAAATAAAACATGTGAAACAACCGCCGCCGCCGCTGACCAGTCGCTCATGAGCGGTAAATTTTGGTGTTCCATCAGCCGCTCAGCTCTCGGGATTGCAAATTTTAAAAACTTTGAATGAATTTATTTGTTACTACGAAAATCGATTTGTTTTTGTCAAAAACTTTTGAAAGGCGTAAGCCATTTCTCGACTGCCCTCGCCACTCAAGCGATCTCCGTGGATAAGAATGTTCAATTTTTGGTCGGGTGAGTAATTTGCAAAATTTTCTCCCAGTATACGAGAAGCGTTATCAAATAGTGTTTTCCTTTGGGCATCATAATTTCGACAGAATATTACGTAGTGGCGGACATCTTCCTTGAAGTGGCCGCAAGAACATTCAGGCGAATCTGCTTTGTTGATTTGAAAACGATGAGAATTTAGACAAGACATTTCAGTTCTTAGTCGGGTATGAAGAATATTTCCAGTTTTTGAGCCAATTTTGTAGTAGTCTGGGGGTTTGGGCATCCCTAGTCGCTGGTTAATTTCTTTTTTGAAGGATGTATGGGGCAAGGATCTTAATGATTCTGGGAGGTGGTTCCATAGTTTGGCAGTTGATAGGAAAAACGATGACTGATAGGATGTGGTGCGATGTGGTTGGAGTGTATGGTTCCTGTGATTTCGCAGGGTCCTTCCTGTTCTTTGTGAGCGGGTGTCCGGTATGATTGATTTGATGTAGTTGGGAGTTTTTTGCATGTGGCTATTGAGTGTATGATATAGTGTTATTTTGTGCATCTCTCTTCTTGTTTTTAACTTGTTCCATCCTAGGTCTTTTAACAATTTGTCAGTTGGTGTTCTAAATAAAGTGCCAGTCACAAGCCGAGCCGCTCTGTTTTGTAAAACTTCAAGTCTCTGTGTGTCCTGGAGCGTAATATGTCCGTCATAAACTGTGTCGTAAAAGTCAAAATGTGGTCTCGTGTATGTTTTGTAAATTTGATCTAAAATTTCTCGGGGGATGTATGGAGCAATGGAGTACAATGGGCTCATGGCTCTGTTTACCTTTTTGCAAATTTCGTTAATGTGCTGATGAAACCGCAAGTCCTTTGAAAATGTCATTCCCAGATGAGCGTGGTTTTCGTGAATGGGTATTATGTCGTCCCCAAATGTAAGAGCAGGTGGTGTGTTTTGTGGGCTGCGCGAAAATGTCTGTTGTATTGTTTTGCTTACGTTGAAAGTAATCGCCCATTCTTTACCGTATTTTTGTATTTCATTGAGATCATTTTGTAATGACGTCTGTGTTGTGTTCAAATTTTGTTTTGTATGGGATGCATAAAGCGATACGTCGTCTGCGAAAAATAAAATGTCGTTTTGTGTTCTAGTAGAGAGGTTATCGAGGTAAATGAGGGCTAAAAGAGGACCCAAAACCGAACCCTGTGGGCATCCGGCGTTGATAATTTCTGTTTTTGAAAAGGTATCGCCGATCTGAACTCGCTGTCGTCTATCAGACAAGTAAGATTTTAGCCAGTCGTAAAGTGAGTCAGTGATGCCAAATTCATGTCTACATTTGTACAAAAGTCCCTCGTGCCAAATTTTGTCAAAGTATTTTGAAATGTCCAGGTAAATAGCAGTAAAATCGCTTTCTGAGTCCAATGCTTTGTATAAATTATGTGTCAAGTATAATAATTGTTGTTCTGCGCTATGGCCTCGTCGATACCCACTCTGTTTATCTGTCAAGAGGTTATGGTGGGAAAGATGTGCATATATGTGTTTGTGGACTATTTTTTCAAAAACTTTGGACAACGAAGAAAGAAGACTTATGGGGCGGTAGTTTGTGGGCTCAGATGGGGAGCCTTTGTTTTTAAATATTGGTTTGATGTTGGCCTCTTTGAATTTGGAAGGGTAAATGCCTAGCGCTAGTGATTTGTTGAATAGTTTCGACAAAGGGGATGCAATTAAGATGGCAGTTAATTTTAAAAGTTTCACAGGGATGTTGTCTGGGCCGGTAGATTTGTTGGCGTCTAGGGAATTTAGAATTTGCAGAACTTCTCTTTCAGATGTGATAATTTTGTCCAGAGTGGGTACCGGCGAAGTGTCTGTTCTTCGAATAGCTGTCTGTAAGAGTGTCCCACTTTTGTCAGTTTTGGTTTGTCCGGCGAAAAATTCGTTTAGAAGGGTAGCCTTTGTGTAATTGTCAGTAAGTATTTCTCCGTCTTTTCCTTCAAATGGTGGGATGGTATCAGTCTTTTTGCGTCCTGTTATTTCGCGTAACGTCTGGTGATATTTGTAAGGGTCTCGTCTATGAGTTAAAAGCTTACGGACCTGTTTCTCTATATGTTGTCTCTTTAATTCCCTATTTAATGACGTCACTACGTTCCTTTGGTATTTCCAGCGATTCCAGTCGTAATTAGTGTTTGATCGTTTTGCTAGTTTGAAAAGTCTGTCGCGTTTTCTTATGCTTTTGTTAAGTTCAGTTGACAGCCAAGGTTTTTTACATGGTTTGATGTAAATGGTCTTTCGAGGAATAGCTTTCTCACCGGCATCTAGTAAAACATTAATGAATCTTTCAGTGGCCTCATTTACGTCGTGATCTAAAATGTCTTCCCAATCAACGTCAAGCAATAATCGTGTTAAAAGTTCTGAGTCGAGGTTCGAATAGTCCCATATTTGCCTGTGTGTGCCATTGCTTGTGTTTGATGGGCACGATATTTTGATGGATGCGATTACGGGGAAATGGTCAAGGTTTGAAAATGGTGACATGGTTCCACTACTAGCTATTATTTGTGAGTCACTAGTAAAAATCAAATCTCGAATATTCTGTGTGTTTTCGGTGATTCTGGTAGGTTGGTGGATGATCTGTTCGAGGTCAAGAGTTTCGGCAGTACGGTAAAGTTGATGGTCAAAAGGAGATAAACCGCTATGCTTGTACTGTCTGTCTCGGTTTAGGTAAATGTTCCCTGCATTGAAGTCACCTAAAATTAAAATAGCTGTCGGTGAGTAACACTGTGCGAGACAAACACTCTCCGTCAAGTGATCTAGAAAGCTATTTAGTCTGTCCGTTGTTTGATTTGGGGGTAAGTAAAGGCAGCAAATTACCAGTGTCATATTAGATATTTTTACTTTTGCCCATATCCACTCCTCTTCTCCAAGTTCGAGCTCGTTTAATCGCTTAATTGGCAAGGAAGCATGGCAGTACAGAGCGACTCCTCCACCCTTCCTAGTCCTGTGTCGCGTGAAGGGAGAGTGATATCCATTTAAGTTGTACATAGAACTAGGAATGTTATCGTCAAGTTTGGTCTCTGTTAAAGCGCAAACGGTTATGTCATTTAAGCTAAGAAACTGGGACAACTCATCCTTTCTACCTGCGG